GTTGGTTACGGTCATGCACTCTGCGGCCATAGGCAGATGATCTCATCAGTAGAGACAATGGCTATGGCCATCAACTAGTACAGTCACTGCCCAAAAGGAAAACAGTGGCAAACTACCTTCTGCAAAACTTGCCAAGAAACTGTAACATCCATGAAAGAAAACCAAAAAAAATGAGTTCTTGTGGTGGGACCCCCAGACCAGGTGGATCCGATAACACTGGGGACGAGTGTGATACATGGACAATGCTCTATCTAGACCAAGCAAGCAGTGGTTAGAATAGATGGCGAGACATCAGACTGGTTTGACATCAGGCAAGGAGTCCGACAGGGCTGTGTGCTAACACCCTATTTGTTGAACCTGTACACTGAAAATTTAGTGACAAATGTCAGAGATTATACAACCAGGGAGCAATATTATGCCTTTAATATTGGTGGTTATGAAATACAAAGATCCTATATGCCGATGATACAGTATTGCTATCCACATCACAGACTGATATAGAAAACTTAATAACCTCAACCTAAAGAAATAGTAAAAATTAAAATTTAAATCATAACGTTGCAAAAACAAAGATAATGCGTACAGATAAAACTACTATGGAGAAAGAAATATATGTTAATGAGAAAAGATTGGAAGTTGTAGACAATTTTGAATATCTTGGGTCATTGATTACCAACAATGGTGACACAGTGAAAGAAATCAGACAACGACTATCAATTGCTCTTCAAACAACTGAATAAAATAGAGTGGGACAGACAGAAATATAAAAATTTGATTTCTGAGAGCATGTATCCTTTCCCATTGCAACCAACATACGCCTGTGAGACCATGACACTTACTAAACAAGCTGAACAGCGTAAGAACTAAATATTGAAGAAGGTTGGCTATTAAAGATAATAAAACACAGAAAATTTAAATATTTTGGTCACTTGAAACATCATGAAAGTTTAGACAGAACAGTAATGGAGTGGTACATGACTGGGAAGAGAGGAAGAGGAAGGCCAAAGAGAAGATGGGTGCAGGATGTGGCGGATGATCTCCAGATGGATGTATCAAACTCGGGACATCTTGCTTGTGATCGAGAAGTTTTCCAGAGGGGGGCAAGGTTCTGCAAGGGACATGCTACTGACTGACCAACTATGGAATATTTATAGATGGTGATTCTAGTAAACACACATATTTGTATTTTCACTCTGGCTGTGAATGTAATGCTCTGTGGTTTGATTTTCCTTAGGTAAGGAAAAGCACTGTATTATTCTATTAAGGAACTCTTATTCTGGCTCTGTTTAGTTCAGTAATTTCTGTAACTTTACCATTGAAATGTATTTGGTTTTTAATTTCTTTAATGTATTTGTGTTTTGAAACTGTATTTATATCTGTTAGCTGGACTTTTTTTCTTCTTTCCAAAATGACCTTGCTCCCAAATTGACTCGGCCTGAATTGGATACAGGTGAAGTCCTGAGAAGTAAAGACAGTCTGCACGATGTTGGCCACATCACCCTAGAGAACCAGTTGGTCTATAAAATACAGGTCTAACACCATATGGCCATTATGCCTTAAGGCATGGAAAAGGGTCCTTTTCTTTACTTTACTAGCACAGTATGAGCATTGTGCTTTGAGGCACGGTAAAAAAGGCCCTGTTTCTTTACTAGCACTATATGCCCATTACATCTGAAGGGGTGGAAAAGGGTCCTTTTATTTGTGTCTGTTTATTTTGCGGTTTCTTTGTAGAGAGCTAACAAAATTTGATGCAGTTTCTTGTGTGTTGCACTGTTTCTTCAAAACTTCGGTCATTTTGTTTAAAATTGTGAGCGGAAAATAATATATTTGCATTTTCAGTGATGATGACTGCAACCATCAGTTGCGGCAGATGACCAAAAAAATCCAAGGTATGATGATGCCAGTTATATGAATGTACTAAACCTTTTAGAAAAGAGAATAGTGTATGTGCGTGCTTGCTGCGTTCGTGCATGTGTGTGTGTGTGTGAATAAATAAACTGACTTTAATGCTGGTATTTATATTTTGTCTAGTACAGTACAATGGGCTTGAGCCTGAGGATTTCGAGCTATGTATTTAATGTATTCGTCACGAATGAAACTTCAGAATAGAAATATGTACGCTCTAAAGAATATTTATAGCCTGTGGTGTTCTGCTGTATATACATACATTTGGATCCTTACTGGTGTTCAGGACTTCACTGCTGTAGTGAGATATTCCTTCTGTGATCTGCTGTATATACATACATTTGGATCCTTACTTGGTTATAACTGGCAAGATTGATTGAAAAGGAGCAAGGGGAATGCATAGAGATAAATACCTGGATGGCTAAGCCATGTCAATGGGGGCGAGACGAGAACACGGACCTGGACCATAATTCTGGTTATCATGTTGGATGGCAAACCATGATAGCCTACGCTATAGGCAGGGCACATGCTGAGAGTATCAATGGAAATATTGCAGTGAAAGAGGCCATTTTATAAACCTAATGAAGATATTTTAATGGTTTATTTGAATGTGTGTTTTGTTTTCTATCCATTCTCTTCTCTTTCCCACTCTGCTTTTCTCACCCCCTCTCTCCATTCCTTTTCTTCCTCCAGTTTTCAGCTTGCCTCTCTCGCTGTCCATACGCACACACGCACACACACACACACAGATATATATATATATATATAACCTCTGTATTTGCTCAAATGGACATACATGTATCATCTTAAAGTTGCCCCTCTGAGTTGACGAAAGCTACATGAATCTCTTTATTTTCCCTGTCTAAAATAGATTGGACAATGCTGCAGCATTTAGTGCCACAGCATTAAATTATTGTTAGTTTGACTGTTAACAATTTTTATTTCTACTAAAGTAATTTTTTGTGCACCTTTACTTTTTCCTGTCCCCATTTGAATTGCAGGTTTGAAAAAGAAAATAAAAAACTTTGAAGAAAGTTTTGAGAAAGACCACGGATACAGGGTGAGTTATAAGTTCTGCATTCACCCTTAAAATAATGGTTGTAACTCAGTGTTGTGTTTATAGCTAGGCTGCGGTATCTATGCCTTTGAACCCAACATGTCTGATTTCTGCAAACTCCCAATTAGTTGCTGTTTACAACACGCTTACTAAGGGAACAGTATACCTAATCTTTTTCTTTCTAAAATGGGGCCTCAGAACTATTACAGGGAATCATAAGTGAGCACAGGAACATTAGTGATAGTAGACTTACTTGAAAGCAATGGTAGTGCAGTGGCTGGTATGCTTGTCTGCTGGCCTCATGGTCATAGGTCCAAATACCTCTTCTTCTTCCCTTCCTATTTTACTGCTTCCGATGTCGAGGGAGATATAAGGTTCTTCTTGTTGCTCTTCTGGCCACCTTGACCATAGACACATCGTGTTGTTGTAGAGTTTTTCTGATGTTAGCTTTCCATCTTGTTCTTCGTCTTCCTTGTGCTCTACATACTTCTCTTTTGGCATACGCCTTATGTGGTTTGACGGCTCAAAGAATTCTTTCTAAATGGGTAAACCACTTGATCTGCTGTCTTTTTAAGTAACTTAGTATTAATTCTGTGCCGACTTTTTCTCTTATGACCTCATTTCTGGTTTTTGTCTCTTCTGGTCACTCCTGCAGCCCATCTCAGACATCTCATTTCTGTGGTTACTAATTTTCTTTTATGGTTTGTTGCATCCCCTAAGCTGAATCCCTAATGACATTTTTATTTGTTAACTGACCTGGGCTCCTGGGTCAGCTTAGCCTAAAAATGGGAAAAGAAAATGTTCTGGGACCAGAAGGATATTTACCACCTCAGTGTTGAAATCTACGGGAGTAGCATCATATACCTAGCATGCCACAAGTCATAAGAACCAGTCCCTTAATGGTGGCTTTTGTGTTAGACAAAATCTACGGGACTAGCATCATATACCTAGCATGCCACAAGTCATAAGAACCAGTCGCTTAATGGTGGCTTTTGTGTTAGACAGTTAGTGACATTTACATTTTAGGCATGTGTTGAACGTGTATTCCACTGTTAAGTTGTGTTGATATGATTCAATTTATGCTGCAATGATTCACATTTGATTGCAGTAGGCTGGTTGTTAAAATGATAATTTGTAAAATATAGTGAAAAATCTCTGTTAATGTAAAATCTAGTATATAATCCTTAATCTCTTCTTGATCTTCTTTTACTTTGCAATGCTAAAATGAAGTGTAAACGCATTGGTGGCCTGTTTGTGTACTTTCAATCAACTCTGACATAGATAATGCTATGATGTCAAACTGTCCAGCATTTTTTCTCTCAATCTCCCTGTGCCTCTTTTACTCTCCAACTTTCCTACTTTCATGATGTACTCCAGTTTTCTCCTTCTCATCACATGACAAAAGAATGTAGATTGTCTCTTTCTGATGTGTGTAATCATTTCTCTTCGTGAGTCAGTTTCCTTCAAGACATCTTCCTTACTCTTTTTATCTGTCTAGAGTATTTCTCATCATTTGTCTATAAAACCACATCTCTGCAGTTTCAAATAATTTTTCACTATTTTACCAACTGTCCAACACTTCCATGAAAGGTTAGTTGCATATCCTTTACAGGACTTTGCAGAATCAATCCCAGCAGCCCCTGGCTGTTGTGTGGTTTCTCTAGGCAAATTTATGTCCAGTAGTTTGCCATTGCTTTCTGGACGGTCGGCCACCTGATATCACTGTCGAAACCAACGCAAGGCGCATGACCCGCAGCTGGGATCGAACCCAGCACCCCGGCATTATGAAGCGTTCGCATCAACTTAGCCAGAGAGACGACTTCACTTCCATATATGATTATAATAACAACACCCAAAACCTTTTGTGAGATTGTACTGAGACAGTAGGAGAATTGATTAACAGTGTTGATCAATGTACAGTTTTTTCTTTCGGAGAGAAAGCTAAAGAGTGATCAAGAATAGATATTCATGTTTTACTTTTCTTTCCCCCCAGCCTTCACATGGAGAAAAATCAGCCCAGCCAGATATTAAGAAGTATATGAATGAATTGTCAAAAGTCAGAAAAGACCTGAAACGTAAGATAATGGAATTGGATTTTATTTCTGTCACAAAAATGCACATATCGCTCAGCTTATGTTACCATCTATCACATCTTATTCTCCTGTTGGTGCAACATATTTTCTTTCAGCAAAGTCAAAAATAAAACCAATGACTTTGACATTAATATAATTTTTTTTAACTACCTGTTGTTTTTCTTTGAAGTACATTATTCCTTATTGTTTAACAACAACAACAAAAACAAAAAAAACGAAAAAAAAAAGGTTTCTTGCTGTTTCACATTTTCTTGTGTGATAATTTGATAGATATTGATATTCATTAAAATTTCAGTGAAACAAATTTATGTTATCACTGTGAACAATCTTGGATTGTTATGGTATGTCAGTGAAAATAAGAAAGCAATATATCAGGACTCAGAGTGTGCACTATGCACAGATGAGGCTTTAAATGATTAGTTTGTAGTAGAAACTGTTAGAATTTACAAGTTTATTATTTATAATCACAATTTTAAATAACATCATGAAGATAAATAAATAATACCCCCCCCCCCCCCCCCCAAAAAAAAAATGGGGGGGGGGGGAGGAGGAAAAATTAATTAATGCCAGTTAGAATGGTACTCAAGTAAGTGAATACTAACAACCAAAATAAAGTTAAAGTTTTTTTAATTGTTCTCTGCGATCAAGGGTTAAAAGAGGAGACAGAAAAGGGCAACAGATCGCGACATAACAGTGGTGCCTCTTCTTCTGGGGTAGAAATGTCACCTCCTGTGATACCTTCAGTGGCAACAACACTGGACTTCATACTGAAGTGCTTGAAAGACAAGAGGCAGGATTCTGGGCGGCCAGAAGAAGTTACGGTGAGATCTCTCTGCCTGTAGAATGTTGTTTTATGTTTTCTAAAGTTTGTGCCTCTTTTATTCGTTTGTTTGTTTGATTGTTTCTTTCTTTCTTTCTTTCTTTCTTTCTTTCTTTCTTTCTTTCTTTCTTTCTTTCTTTCTTTCTTTCTTTCTTTCTTTCTTTCTTTCTTTCTTTCTTTCTTTCTTTCTTTCTTTCTTTCTTTCTTTCTTTCTTTCTTTCTTTCTTTCTCCTCTTTCTCTTCAACTCATCCTTTCCTCCTCCTTCTTTTTCCTTTTTATCCTCCTCCTTCGTGTTGTTTGTTGAATGATATAAAATGTCACCCATCTCATAGGCTGGAAACGAGGTCATAAAATAAATGGTTATTATCATCATCAAGTGCCTTGCAACTATGTTTGATGATCATGCTCCTATATCTTTATAAAATCTTCCACTGACTCATGCCAAGTCATCCTGTCCTTTGCTGTTGCATGCAGCTCTGCAGCTCACCCCATATTCTCCCTACTTTGGTCTCTAATTTCCTTCTCCATTAGGGGGTGGGGGGGGGGGGGGGTATTTCTGTGCCACTGTGGGTTCCAGTGTAAAGCATTTCTGCTTATATTGTTTTCTGGCTTTCTCAACATGTATCATATCTAATGCCTTTGTCTTCTCTTTACCCCTTGATTCACTTAAACTAGTTATGTTCTCTCCTAAAGCTTAACTTTGTGGATTCTTTTATACTGTTTAATTCCCTCTATTCTGCGAAGCCACCAGTTAATGAATGATTGTAGTTTTTTAGTAACTGTTTTAGGTGTTCTTCATGTTTCGGCTGCATACAGCAGTACTGATTTGACATTAGAATTTAAAATAAAATTATTTTTTTTTTTAAATCAAGCACTTTTTATAAATATTTTTGCTATCATCCTTCTGTGACTTGATGTAAACTCTGTGTATTTAAAGATACATAGTTGATTCTTTTCTGTCAGTTTCAAAAGTCATGAATTGTATTTCCTTGTACATTTTGTCAGATACACTATAACCTAGTCTTACTTCCCTGGTGTTTACTTTAACTTTGTGTTTGCCTTTATGAAAGTAATGCAATCTTTTTTTCTTCTCTTGGCCATAATTTACCCCATTTGCAGAAAACAGTTAATGTAACATTATATTGGGTTGGGAGTTTTTTCCTCCCAGAAAGCTGATCATAGTTAACATATTTTACAAGTGTTAAATGGATAAGTGTTTGGTTGTTGTTGTTGTTTAACTTGACTAAACAGGAAGGATTAACACAGGTTTAATGCCCACATAGCACTATGTTATGATCATATACACATTTTGTTGCAGCTAATGTCTAGAGATCAAGTCCAGGAAGAGAAATTAGCTGTACAGAGAGCTCTGTTGCATTTTGAAGGACTGCATGGTCGTCCTGTAAGTGATCATCTTCTTAGATACTTTTATTTTAGAGATAATTTTTTCCTTTAAATTTCAGTTTGATTGTAAAGATAATAAAGATATCCTAAGAGATAAAATGCATAAATATATATTTTGAACATTATAACATTTGAATGTATTCGAAAACATACTCTTAAGGAAATTGATGAATATTAAATGGGATGAATTCAAGACAGGTGAAGAAATAAGAGAAATGTCTGGACTGCTTGTATCAACAATATAAGATAAATAAGATGGGGATATTTGGCTACATACTGAGGAGAAGCAAACAAAATCACCAGGCACTTAAATGGGAAGCAAATGAATTGAGGAAGTGATGATGTCCAATAAAAATCTTAAGATGACATTGATGAAAAAGGCCAAAGGTTCTGAACTGGATACCATCCATTATATGAAAATTTCGTTTGAGCTTCTTGTAATAGTTTAGCAGTCAGTATGCTATAAGCTTTGAATTTATGAAAAAGTTTTGATGCATTCAGGGATTAGTGTAATTTCTAAATTCTCAATGCTGGGGGTAAGTTTTTCCCCTTACTGTTTGTTTGTTTTTGACAGACAAGCAGGGAAGAGAAGGAGATCATGAGACCTCTGTATGATCGATACAGATCTGTGAAAAGAATGTTGATCAAGCCCATGTCTGTAAGTATCATGTTGTAAACTGTTCTGCTTGTGTTGGGGATTCTTTGGAAGGCTTCATTGTACCCAGTAGCTACTACTGTGTCCCCCCCCCCCCCTTTTCCCAAATATAAATAAGTCCGCATCATATATTACTTTTTGCTTACAAAATATACTTGCATTTATTTTCATAGATCATCTTTTTTTTTTTTAAACTTAAAAAATATCTGAATTTATTCATGTACAAAATTCTACAGTTAATCACATACAACAATGTTTTCTTCCTGAACATCATCATCACTCTCCAGATCCTGAATTCCCACCTGCAGTTTTTGCTACTCCATTTTCGTGTCCCCTATCTTGAAAACTTCAGTTAATCCGAGTATCTGGCTTCTCTCGGTATTATTGTTAGCTTGGGGCTTCCCCCCCAACCTTCCTAATCAGGGTGAAAATATCCCCCATTACAACAACCACTGGCTCTAGTCTCTGACAATCTTAGCTAGGGCTTATTGTTGGGGTAGGGCTTAAATTACAAGTATCCTAATAATCTTGCAAGTGCTTTTTATTTTAGGGTAACTCTAGGAAACTCACTATAGGTTTATTAACCGTCTTTCTTACCTTTATTTACCACTTCAGGGCACTCTAGGACAGGGGTTCTTCAACCTGAGGATTTACTAGTGCAGCCACCACAAACTGTGCAGTTAAGATGTTTATTTTTGCTCCTGACAGAAATAACCTCCATCCCCTTATCAAGTATTTGAATCTAGGTTTCCTGCCCATCAGCGACCAGGTCGCCCATTGGCTGGCCAGTAGACAGCCTTGTTGTCGGTCTCGACAGCATTTGGGTCTGTCTCCTTTGATCGCATTAACACCGCAAGAGTCCTTTTCAGGGTTACTTGGTAAAGAGCAATGTTAAGCTATTTTATCTGGCGCAAATAACCTAGTCACAATCATAACCATCCCCCGTGTGGGTTCCGGGGCCCCATTGTGGGGAAAACAAGAATAGACCCACTGCCTCCCCAAAAGCATGTCGTAAGAGTCGACTAATTGGGGAGCTTCCTTTGAAGTCGGAGTGCATCTGCCGGAGAGGCAAGGAACCAACAGTCTGTATTCAAGAGAATGAGATCTGTAAAACTGATGCACACGCAACACTCAGGTTCTGGAGCAGGACTGCAGTTCAGTAGTGGACGAGCAACCAAAACCTTCCGCCAGAGTTTACAGCTGGTGAACGCGAAGAAGAAGAAGAAGAAGACAATCATAACCAAAAGTTCCACCTTTGGGGGATGCTGCTTGAAGTGAGAATTTTTCTTGTTTCTCAAAATTGATTGGAGGATTCCTGCCTAGTCACACTAGAGGCATGTCAATTGATGATAGTGATGATGAAATTTCTCCAAAGCCACCAAAAACTGCCAGTTACTGCCTGTTTATACCACTTTTACACTGCTAAAGTTGGAAAGGGGGTGGGAGGTAGGTAGTTGAGCCTGAAGATTTAGGATCGCATGGCTATCGCTACAGACTGTGCAGTTTAAAATTTTATTTTAGTCCCCCGCAGAAACAAACCTAGAACTTTACATAGGTTTTAAACCTAGAGAGCCCAGCCGTCTTAACCATTCGGCCAGCTGCTTCTCGCTTTTAACTGAAAATTAGATAAAGTAAAAATTTACTTGAAACTAATAGTAATGTAATCATTATCGAATTCTCAGCCACGAAATTCCCTTGAGCTGCAGACTGTACCTGAAGATCAAATGATGGAGATACCACGTTCTTTCAATGTGAGTGGTTTTGTTTTCTAAAGTGTTTGAATTGTTCCAGTAATACCCTCTGTTCACTGATGTTACAAGTGAGGTCAACATGTTTAATTTCCCTAAAATCTGTGATTTCTTTTGCTAATTTGTACTGACTTATTATTACAAGAGAGGACAGTATGGTTGTTTTCCCTGTAGTCTTTGATTTGTGTCATCAACACTGACTATTATATTAGTTAAGGGTTACAAGTGTGGTCAGTATGTTTGTTATAAGGGTTATTCAAAATAATGGCTACACTTTTATTCATGTATATTTCCTTGGGGCTAAACTAGATGGCTAGGACTCACGAGCAGCAGCTTCAAGATCTCCTGCAGCTTTGCTCGTGAGTCCTAGCCATCTAGTTTAGCCCCATTGTCGCCGGAAAAGCGCACATGAAAAGTTGGAAGCGCGCAATTGACCCGTGACCCCAAGTGCGCAGTGACCGCGGCTCGGCTGGATATTTTGCCGCCGCCATCTTTGCCGACCGTTTGTCGGAGGATTGCCTAAGGTTGTGTGTGTGTAAATATGTATATATACACACACACACACACACACACACATATATATATATATATATATATATATATATATATATATATATATATATATATATATATATATATACACACACACACGCACACACGTGCACACATACATATTTACCTCACACACACATACACACATATTATGTATATATATGTGTATGTGTCCGTCTGTCTCTCTCTCTTTCTCTCTCCCTCTATGTGAGTGTGTGTGTGTTTGAGAAAAACCTAACAAAATACATGTCAAGCTCACAGCATCTGAACCCTATTAAAAAAGCTGGTATCTTTCAGAATGAAGTAGATATAAAGATTGTCCTTTCTGTAAAACCAAACTACCACCCCAGTGCAATTACAGAGCTCTTCCTTTATTCTCCAAGCTGAGATACCAGTGTATTGAGCAAGAGCTTACTACGACTTAACATCTGTGGAGTGACATTGTTAACCACCCTTTCACCCTGGTGACCTATTTAAAAAACATCAAGCTCCTGTGCATTCTATTTGTTATTTGTAAGATATTTCTACACACAAAATTGCTTAGAAACACATCCAGTTTACACATGACAACGAATAAAATCTTACAAAATAATTTGTCATCCAAAACACGAATAAATACTATACAGAGTAAGGGGAGTAGTAAATAAAAATGAATGCAGCCTAGAATTATCTGGCTTACATCTCTTTTGGCATGTAAACTACTTATAGCTTGATATTTCCTATCGCCTGGAAACCACTGTAACCATTGGGGAAAATATGATGTAGTATTTTATGGAAATAAAGCAAATTTAAACAGTAACCCAACCTACTAGTTTGTGGAAAGTGAGGCAGGGGTCAACCTCCGCAAAGATGGAGACAGGACATTGAAGATGCATTGGCATTGAAAGCACAAAGGGCTGGAGAGCTGGCTAGGGTGAGGGATACTTTCAGGTGTGCCGTAAGGAGAGTAACGTTCTGTAAAGGACATGCTGAGTGATGATGATGAACCCACTAACCCCAGCCCACATGCTACCTTTAGTCAGTTAAGTCACCCCTGTCATGCTAAACGTTAGCACAGTTACAGACGTAGTGAGTTTGTTAGCTAGACATCTTATGAATAAACCATGCGTTTTTGTATTAAGGTATGTGTGTATGTGCACGCACATGCGTGCGTGTGTACTCGTGTGTGCGTGCGCGTATATGCATGCATTGATGGATATGTATGTGTATGTATGTATTTGTGTATGCATGTATGTATGTATGTATGTGTGTGTGTGTGTGAATTTGTGAGTGGGTATGTGCCTATGCGCATGTATTTACCCTCCGTGTGTTTTCCCCCCTTGATATCCATATTATGAATATTGTTTTATGAACATAACATGCTTTATTAATAAGATACAATTGATATGCGAAAGAGTGGTGTTTGGAAGGGCTGAATGTAAGATAGGCCTACAAGCCCAATTTTTCGCCTTTGAAAGTAAAGTTTGTCCGTTCATTCATTCTCTATAGCGATTCAGGAAAATGATTCTTGCCAGGAAATGATTCCAAACTGAAGTATCAGTTTCTTGACTTCACATAACGATTTGGTAAAAATTTAACAAAGTAATGATTCAGAACAGTACATGCAGACTGGCTCGGAATAGACCTTTGTTGTTATTGTTTCCTCCATACCAGTGTCCAGAAGGAGTAATGGGTGTTTAAATGTAAGCATTTAAAAAAAAAATATTTTTGAGACTAATAATGCCTTTTAATGTCTTCTATCATAGAGGGACCCAGTTCGAGTTCCTACAGCAGATTTGGAAAACGATGCTGGAAGCAATGATTTTGGCTTTGTTACCCAAGATCTGATGGTGGTGCGAGAGTTGGATTTTCCCACCGCTCAGGATAAGGGATTGCAGCAGGCAGGAGGAGGTGGGAAAGATGATGGCAGCATCACGAGTGAGGATGGTCGTGGAGATGTACGCCTTCATGAGATGTCTTTGTGAGTTGTTTTTTTTTAAGTTTAATTTACACTGCACAGCTACTGTAATATTATTTTACAGTGAATTAGATCACAGGCACAGTTGTTTAGGTTCAACTGACCATTCATACATAAGGAGAGATTTGATCTAGCCACACTGATACAAGACAGTTTTTTTTATCTGGTCATTTTGACATAGGGAGAGATTTTATGGATTTTTATCTGGCCATATTAACACAGGGAGAGATTTTATTTTGTTGCACTGGTAGAGGGAAAGTTTTTTTTTTTTTTTATATACGAGGATGGGGGATTTTAACTTGTCACATAAACACAAAGTAAATAGCTGCAATACCACATAAACCAATTACACGACAGTTGCCTTAAATGTCACATGAAGATCAATATTGAAAAAACAGAAGTTATGAGAATAAGCAGAGAGCAACAAACCATTGACATAAAGATCAAAGATCAAAGTCTGAAACAAGTGCAAGAATTTAAATACTTATGAAGCATCTTTACACACAGTGGTAAAATAGACAGAGATAGAAATGAGAATCCAACAAGCCAACAATGTCACCTACCAACTTGCTCCAATTTTAAAATACCCAGCTATCCCAATAGAGACAAAAAGACAAATTATAAATACAGTATTTATACTGACATTAGGTTACAAATGTGAGACTTGGACATTTCTAACCACCTTTGAGATGAGATGTTTGAGAATGGTTGTGAATAAAACCAGAAGAAATTGAATGAGAAACAAAATGATTACAAGAACTGTTGGAACAACACCCATCCTCAAATTTAATGAGAAACAAAGATGAAATGGTTTGGCCATCTAATGAGAATGAAACCAACGATGCCAGCAGCAAGAGCGTAGAACCTGAAAATCAAGGGTCAGGGGAAGACTGAGAAGAAGATGGACTGAAGGAGTCACTGACACCTTGAGACTGCATAATATACCGGCATGTCAAGCAACTGAGCGCGCCCTGGCTCGGCTGCCGATCGTCTGATGAACTGCAACGTCTAGTGGCAAAAGCAGATATTGACAAAAGAAGAAGAAGAAGACACAGACACAGATTTTGTCTTGTTGCACTGCTGCAAGGACAGATTTTATTTTTAAAAATCTGACCACACTGAGATTAAGAAATTTAGTTTAAGCCACACAGGCATTGGAATGAGGGATTTCGTATGGCCACACTAGATACAAGTCAGCAATGAACCCTTCCTAATGAAATAATAATTTAAAAAAAACAACAGATTTATGTGAACAGGAAAGGTTGCGGTGAAGCAATTTAAACATCTCACTTCATAAGGCTTGGATTAAAAATGTATGATACTGTTACTTCATACTTCATTGGAAGTATAATCTATGTTGTTACTTTTATTTGTACTTACAGCATTAAACTATTGGGATAATTTGCTGCTTAACTTTGACATTACATTATTTTAAGACTGACATTGTCTGGGAGGCCACATCTAAAGTGCCCTGGCACGTGATTAGTTGCTTTGGAATCTTGTATTTGGGGGGGGGGGAAGGCGGTTCCAAGCCTGTTCTCCATCTGACCACGCTGGTCTTGGCAGCTCCATGGAGGCTGCAGAAAAAAATTGAACAAAATTTTTTTTTTCAAAGATATAATTTTTTTGCATGAACAGTTGTTTAGGCCTCTCTTTAGTTTACATTCCAATACTATCTATCCCCTCTTCGTCTGCTTCTAAAAATGATTGACTTGTAACACATTGCATATGGTTGATTTAAGGATCCTTATCATAGAAATTGATTCCTGTAAAGATCCCTGCAAGACAAAAAAGGAAAGGGGGAGACCACTGCAGAAGCCCAAGCTTTAACTCTTAAGTCTAAACTTGTAATATCCAGAATGTGTAAGCTCTGAGATGGACTATAAATTATCAAAGCAAAGATGATGTTGCGGCTTGGTTTACTTATTTTACCCAAAAGTTACTATTCTTCTGGTGCCGCCTTGATTAACCAAGTTCATTTATCCTAAACTGAAAGAGCTTTTGGAACTTCTTACGAACTTACCTGCACGGCAAGAGTTCCTTTCTCTTCCATTCATACCCGAGCCGGTCGCATGGACTGTCTTATGTTGTGGGGGTGTTATGAGATGGCTTTGTTTGGCATTGACTCGCCGTATATAATGTTTGTGTCCCTGTGAGTGTCTTTGAAGTGCCACAGGCGCCTGTTTACAAGTAAAAAGTACTGCAGGAGCAAGCGCTGAAGGCAAGATTGTTCGTAAGTATCGAAATTGGGATGTTTTGTATTTCTGCATTCCATGGCTTTGGTCGCCCACCCCTCCCCCTTCCCCAGAAAAAAAAGAAGTTGCCGACAAGAAAGGCACACAAAAACATCCAAGTTTTGATGTTCACGAACTGTTGGGCAAGTAGCACGACGTTGAGATAATCATGCAAGTGAGATGTGTCAACATGAAAAAAGAGAGAATGGTTAAACTGTTAACAATAAGGAATACCTAGCACACCCACAACATAGGACATGCCATGGGATTGGCCATGGCATGAATGGGAGAGGAAGGAATTCTAGCTGAATGGGCAGGTCCTTGATAAGTTCCTAACTTTTTTACTGCACTTTTCTCAAGCATTCTTCAGTTTCCTTGCTTTGACCAACACATTTTTTGTATGAACAGGTCTGAGCTTCATGTGGAGATCGAGACCTCTCGGGGACAAAAGAAGAAATTGAGGAGAATTTTGAGACAGTACGAAGAGGATTTCTTCTTGAAGAATGGGAGGTGAGTTTCCACCATACAGTTTGTTTGACTACATTGTTAAAATCATAACAGTGTCTGTTATTAAAAGCTAGCTTCACTGTTTGAATTAATAAGCAACACACATAATAATTGTATCTTTTTCTCTGTGTTCTCTACAAACCTCTTTCAGTATGTTAAGAGCATTCGTGCTGTTAATATATGCAGAATGGCACCAAAAATCTTAATTTATTACGTGGGGGTTGTGGTTTTGTAAAGTGAAGAAGTAGGATTATATATATACATGCCCGGCTTGCTATATATATAGTAATGTGTTGATATATATATCAACGCATTACTATAGACAACTCAAAAAGGGTTCAGAAATGATGTACTCAAAAATGTTTAGATGTCGAGGTGAAAGCAATTTTTCCAGCATAAACTGCAATTTTGACATCTGACAAACTTATTAGGAAAAGTTCAAAAGGAAGACAAAAGGTAATACTTGAATAACTTTCTGCCAGACACCATAATAAAAGAAAAGATACAGTTGTTAAAATCAACAGAAAGCAGTCTGCGTGGCGCGGTGATTTATGTCACAGGCGTGAGGGGAAGTTAAGTCCAACTTGATGTGTATAAGGAGATACTCCGTACGTCACTCGGGCGCCAGTCCTTTACTATCCTGGTTGTACGGAACCTCACGCAAGACCCCTACAGCACGTCCTCGTCGTGCGCCACGGATAATGTCTCAAATGAGCATTAACAGAGCTGTCAGGGGATCTCGGAGTTCGGCGGCCCCCAGAGGTGATGTGTCCTTGTGGCTCTCATCAACCCGCCCCCAAACGCTTGGGTTAAAAATTTTACCAAAACTCATTAGGAACATGAGTAGGTCTGCCAAACGTACAGCCAAAATTACAACCCTTGGTTAAAAGACTGCGGAGTAAAGAGAACATTGTTCACTGCACATCCTCTGTTAACCCTCAGTGTCGTCGTCACCGTGCTGAGGTACACCACAACAGCAACCATCCATAGGCTGACCATTCATGTACATCCTCGGTTAACCCTCAGTGTCGTCGTCACCGCGCTGAGGTACACCACAACAGCAACCAAGCATCGGATGGCTAAGCCTAATTGTCCGACAAAACTAGATCATACGGATCAAAATCTGACCATCAAAATTTGTATTGAACTGAAAAAGACCAAATGTCCACACCCAAAGACCCCACTCGCCCAAGTGTTGGGACAAAACTGATAACGATATGCCTGATGCAGGATGTAAAATTCTGTCGGGCTAGCGGCTCGTCAAAGAAATCTAACGTGCGAGGAAAAAAGAATGTACCTATCTGTGTGGTCACAAAAGTCCAAAACCCACGGGCTGCTCCCCGCTGACTTCCAGAGGGCGCAGCCCCTGTCGAGCGGGAGGCCTGATACGGTTGTGAGGTTAAGCAGGCATGTGCAGGACGTGACGATTCCTTGGGTGAGCCCAGAACCAGAGCGCCATGTGCCGGCTCTGCATGCATGGAAGCCTCCTTGGATGGCGGGGAATGCCCATGATCTGCCCCTGCCTTCCCTTGAGGGCTAACTGTTCCACAGGGGGCTGCCCCAAAGGGGTACTCCGAGGGCAATACCTGCAGCGAAGGGGACAAAGTGGACACCACACAAATCAGGCAATGTCACGACCCACACAAAACAATGGCCACAGTCAACCTAGAAATAGGCCTGACGTCTTCCTTCGAAGTCGGAGTACAGCTGCCCATGAGGCAGGGAAATGAAAAACGGTTGTACACGCAAAAATCAGGTCCAGGTGAAAGCCAAAAGTCCAAGCGGACGATTAACCGGGACCTTCCACTGGAATTCACAGCCGGTGATCGATATATTAAAAAAAAAAAAAAAAAAAAAAAAGCAGTCTGCTGTCAAATCAACAGCAGCCAACTTTGAATCTCTTATATCTGGATTGTTAAAATGCATTCACAACTCAGAAGCAACAAACACCAGCACCTACTTTTTGGTGCCAAGGAACACATCACACATTGATTTATAACTAATTTAACTGTCATCTGGTACTGAAAGAGTTAAAAGTTTATTAAAATTTAGTACCTATTAATACTTTGGGTAAATAATGTTGTAAAAAGGGGGGGGGGGGGGGGAGGGCGTGACTGCAGTCAAGCTGATTGCAAGAAATGCTAGATACAATACAAAATGTGACTAGAAGCTCAACTGAAGCTGTGGAAAAGATGCACGCAGACACACCAGAACATTTCGACCAAAGTTTTCCAGTCACAGTTAGTACTGCGCTGATAAAGACTTTGTTCAATTGTGTTTGTGTGCGTCTTTTCCATTCCCTCCTTGAGCTTTCTAGTCACTTTCTGTGTTATATTTAGCATTTCTTATTACTTGTTAATCCTGAAAGAGATAGTTATTGGTGGCTGATTGCATTTATCCTTTTTTAATGTATTTTCGGCCTCTTTAAGAAATGAATGTGGAGTTCTGTCACTGTGGTAGTATCTTCAGTGGTATTATCTGTATCTGTTGTCTTGTGGGAGTGGCTGTATCAACAGTGTTCTGTTTGCTTTGATTCACAGAAAAGTCCAGAAGGAGGACAGGTATCCTTTGCAGACAGAGTATAGTGAATATAAAGTAAGTGTTTGTGAAAGCCTTGTGACAGTTTCATGTCATATGTAAAGAAGTCGCTGGATTATGGGGGTCAGATTGAGAACAGTTAGATTTACGGTATCATCTCAACAATGAAGGTTGTCTCTCAACTTGGTTGTGCACTCTCTTACTACTTACTATTTATCCATCTTTTGATATTGTCTCCTATTTGTTCTCTTTTTTTAAAACTGTTCTATCTTTTTATTCTAAGTGTATTTCGAAATAAAATTATGGTGTTTTAGTGTTGATATGCTTTACATTCTTCATTCATTGATATTAGATGTTACAGCTTCATGGCTGAATCTGCTGTGAAGGCCTAGTAAAAGAGTAATTTATTGATCTTACTAATATTTTTGTTCCTGGGCTCAGCGTCTTTGCATATACAGTCAGAAGGCTATGGATGGACATGGTGACTAACACCACACTGCATGGACAATAGAGTGAGAAGTTCTGGAGTGACCAAGCTATGACCAAGCTTTGTACACATTTTTCTCCCCATGTGGATTCTGGGGACCCATTGTGGGGAAATCAAGAATAGACCCACTACTTCCCCAACAAGCATGTTGTAGGAGTTTGACTAATTGGGATCTCCTCCAAAGTCAAAATGCATCTGCCCAAGCAGCAAGGAACAACCAACTGCACTCAAATAAGCCAGTAAAATGGATGTACAAGCAAAACTCCTGACACAAAGCCACAGTCAAAATGGATAAATAACCAGGATTTTGGTTGGAGCTTACAGCCGGTAAACAAAGAAGAAGAAGTACGATTACTGATTTAAGAATCAACATCATAGCAAACCAGGCATACCCACAGATGCTCCGTCTCCAGCAGCAAATTATGTAAGGTGTAAATGCTAACTGTTCCTATATCACATAGAAGAAGTACGAAAGAAATTTTGAGTAAAGAAGCTTGTCATCTCACTGAATTTCCTGTGTGTGTGTGTGTGTGTGTGTGTGGGGGGGGGGGGGGGGATTAGAGATTTCTTCTTTAAAGACAGAGTGCATCTGCCTGAGAAGCAAGGAACCAACAGTCTGCATACAAATAAGCAAGATCTGTGAAATGGATGTGCACTCAAAACTAAAGATCTGGAACAGGACCAAAGTCCAGAAGTGGATGAATAACCAGAATTTTCCACTGGAGTTTACAGCTGGTGAGTGCTAAGGAAAAGTAGAAGACCTCACTGCATATACCGTGGGCTGGTAAAATAAACCCTATCATTTCTCAACTCATTTCACAATTTGCCAGAAACTTCCATGTTTTGTTGTTGTTGTCAAGCAAGAAAATAATGTCTAATTTCTAAGTTTCATTTCCTTATTTGCTTACAGAAAGTGAAAGCAAGGCTGCGATTGCTTGAAGCTTTAATTCTGAAGCATTACAATCATGAATGACCGGTACCTGGATCTCAAGCCTGGACGGTTACATCTGGCATTTATTTTTAGGCATCGTAGTTGGCATGTCTGTGCTCCCCCGAGATGCTGTGCCTGATGTCGTTAACACAATTCATTCAGAACCAAGACAGCTGAATATTTATATTTGCTTTAATATCTCTTGTAGAATTAATGTCTCATATATTTATAGAGAGAGAGAGAGAAATAGAGGATGACAAGTGTCTTGATAATGTAGGGAAATAGAGAAAGAGGAGGACAGATATTCTTGTAGAATTATGAAAATAGAGATAGATACAAGCAGATTTAGATTTTTTTAAACAGACAAAGATGAGAACAAATGTCTTGTAGATTCTTGGAAACAGATAGATTAAAACAAATTTTTTTTTTAGATCTATGAAAATAAAGATTGATTAAAGCATATGTAGATTTATTGAAACAAAGAGATTGGTAAAAGTAGATGTCTTGTAGATTTATGGAGAGAGATATTAAAATAAATATCTTGTAGATTTATGAAAACAGATAGAGAACAAATATTTTGTAGATTTGTGAAAAGAGAGACAGGGTATGGTAGATAACAGAGAGGAAAAGAACTGCACACAAGGGAGTTGAGTGGTCATAGACCAGGAGGCAGACCAAGAAGATGGTGGAGAGATAATATACATCCAGACCTACAAACATTTATAGTCATCAACAGGAAAGAGAAAGCCAGTCACAGGAGGAATGGAGGTGGGTAATATCTGCAGCAGTGACCCTCAAGGGCTCAGAATGCTGCACAATAAGAGACAGTGGATGATAAATAATTTGTAGATTTTTGGAAGAGAGATAGAGAGGGACAAATTGTCTTGTAGATTTTTGGAAGAAAGATAACAAAAGAAAAGTGTCTTGCAGATTTATTGAGAGAGAGATAGAGGAAGGGGAATGTCTTATAGAAGGAGTTAGAGGAAGACAAATGTCTTATAGATTATTGGAAAGAGAGATAGAAGAAGACAAGTGTCATGTAGATTTATGGAAAAAAGAACCATTTCATGTAGATTTATGGAAAGAGATAGAAGAAAAGTGTCTTATAGATGTAGGGAAAGAGAGATAGAAGAAGACAAGTGACATGTAGGTTTATGGAAAGAGAGATAGAGGAGGATAAATGCTTTTTAGATTTGCAGAGAAGTTGAGGTAGGTAAATATTTAATAGATTTTTGTAAAGAAAGGCAGAGGAAGACAACATGAGATTCTTGAAAGTGTTTCTGTCATGGCACTGAAGGGTGTCAGCACACGAACCAATTCATGCTGTTAAAGATTACAGGATGTGGATAAACACAATCACCCATGCCACTAAACAAGGCAGTATGAATATTGAGTTTCATAGAACATATCAATAAAATTACTCTGATAAGCTTCACATGATATATAGAAACATAATGGAAACAAAATCACTGTTTATCATATAAACATTTGATATAAAAACCAAATATAAAATTAGTAATCGGTGCAGTATATTCATCATGAGAGGTAAAAACTGATCAGCATATGGCATGGTAAATGGGGTGGAACAAGTTTTATTGAAAACCTTGTTATTTCACGCTAGCTATATTGTCTGTGTCAAAGGTCATTAACTCTGTATATAAATCATGCCACTCTTTGCTGTTTAGGTTTTTGTTGTGTGCGTGTTGCAGCTCACATCTTTCTGAGGCTCGTCATTAATATTTTCTTCCTATGCTGTACAGTTGTAAACAGTTTATATATTTTTTTAATTAAGAGCCAAAAAGTGGTAGTGTAAATAAACATTTTGGTGGTTTTTAAATATACTGTTCCTCTCCCCCCCCCCACCCCCCAAAGGCACGGCTACTGAAAGATACATACAACTCACAGTTTTAACATTCTGCATCTTTCTAATGCAATAGGTGCAATTACTCACACCAATTGACACCTTTCATTGTAACTGATCTCCCCCACACAATTACACCTCCACCACCGTGCAGCAGAGCTTCATCAACACAATTTTGTGCTAAACCTTCATTTCCCCTACGGTTGACCCTACACAGTCTATCATAACGCTGCAACAGAAAGTAAGAATCGTCACTGAACCAGACACATCTCTATTGATTTTCACCTGCCCAGGGCGATGTTGGTTGCCCAAAGAGGTCGATTTTGGCGGTGGCGATGCGTAAAGACATGTGCACGGTGTGGTCGTTATGCCAAAGTCCAGCACCATGCAGGTCTTCCAAACAGTTTGATCAGACACATGACGTCTCGGAGGCAAAACCTGCACAGTTGAGGAAGCTGCTGTAAACCTATCTCTAATGTGACGAAGCCAAATAAAGCGATTCTTTGTTGCTGTTATCGTCCACTGCGATGTCGGTCTTCAACTGAACCGGTGGCTTGGAACCAGTGCTAAAGTCGACTGATGGTACTCTGATGCACATTAAGATGTCTGGCAAGCTGACTTTGACTATCTCCTGCCTGCAATCAACCAATAGCAAGATTTCTTAAATGTATCGATAGAGGTGCGATTCGTGTCTGCTCGAAAGTGAACTGAGTGTTTTGGTGTAGTGTTATCCTTTTATAAGGTTTCAGTTGCATAGGCAGTGAATAGAGTTCACCCTTAAATTGTGTAGCTTTCTCGTGCGCGCATCATGAGCTGTGCTCGCGAATGTGGTCTCAAACACAATTGACCATTGCGTTATAACGATTACAAAAACCCACGCAAATCATGCCCACATGTCCACCGGACACGGTTAACAGCATTTGTGACTGCTTTTCACATACCCAATTACAATATTTTATTTTAAAAACTGTGTTTATTTTTTAACAGTATATTTTAAGCAGTAAAGGTAAAGAGTTCCTGTTAACGCATAGAAGTGTCATAGATATACGATCCCGTGTGGTAGATTTTCTCAGTCTTTGAAATGATGTCTCTAATAGCTTCGCGCTGTTAGATCAGAAGTTACAATTTGTTTTAATTTTCCTGCTTATACCCCTCCCACAGTGTCGCCTGATGTGGCCACCTCTCTGTCCTGTAGATGTGTGGTGTCATTTCCATTTTGTGTGTGATTGATTGACACTCAGTGGGAGCTGTGGTCAGTATCACATCAGCCATCTGTATGCCAGGAGGCCAGGTGGCTAGCATTCTAATCTGCTGAGTTCAATTGCCTTTTAGGCTGAGATTTGTTTGAATTTCTTTACTGTTTAAAGTGAGCTGGATTTCCATGCTGACGCAGTCAAAACTTTCTGGGAAGTTGAAAAGAAAAAGAACCTGATCACATCACCCATCCAAGGCTGACATGTCTAAAAATACAGAGTTTTTGACATCACAAAAAATGTAATTTCATTTTTACCTTGAAGTTTCGGAAAGTTTTTGGCTCTGTCAACCTGGAAGCCCAGGTTAATGAAGATAATTACCAGCTTGAAAGGTATTTCAAACACAATACCAACTGGCAAACATTCTAGAAATGTTTTTATAGTTTCAGTTCATTGTTACTTAATCAGTTTTATTGCCAGGGTTAGCAGCGTGTCTGGTCTAGCTTTAACAGTATCTAGGCCAGGGTTTCATAAACTTTTCACAATTGTTCTTTTGTGATCCATTCATCATATAAAGATTGTACCACAAAATCTTGCTCTAGAAAATCTGATTAAGTTTTATGAGGTGATAAGCACTTATTAGTTGTGTAAGTAATGAATGTAAATTTTAGATAGCAGCACAGTCACCACTAACTATAGAGCCTGACAAATACAGTGCTAATGTTGTTTATGTGAGTCACCGTAGTGTAACGACTAGATGCTCGCTTGCGGATTAGAAGGTCATGGGTTCGGGTCCTGAGGGATCTGGGCTGTCTTCAGAAGTGACCTTGCCTTCCAAGTCGACCCAGCCTTGAGTAGGTACCAGGTGCAGTCCTGGGAAGTAAAGGTGGCCGGCAGGATGTTGACTACATCACCCACAATTGCTGATTGGTCTATAAAATATAGGTCTAGCCCGACATGACCAGTATGCTTGAAAGCGTATTAAAGGGTCCTTTACTTTTTACTTTACTTTACTAATGTTGTTTGTGTGATAGATATTAGCAGCAATGCAGCTGGTCACATTCAGTCAAAGCTCGAATAGATTTTCTTTAATGCTCCAATGTAAGACAATTTATATAGATATTTAATATCTTTGTCGGTTGTACAAAGTGAAGTTTCTAAAATTTAGCATACACAAAACAATATAACTAGAATGTCATTACCCAGGAATCCAAAAAAAAAAACACAGAAGTAAAGGCAGACCAGAAAACCCACAGAGAAGGGAACTAGAGAATATTAAAAAGATGGGGAGGACATGGGGTGAGCTGCATGCAGTAGCAATGTATAGGATTAGTTGGTTGAGGGCCTATGCTCCATTGGGGGGTAAAGGGTGAAATAAGAACAGAAATATTATGTTGTTTGTGAACATAGAGTTGTACATTATTACATTTGTTCTTGAGTGTCATCACACAGATCCTTAGACTAAACAAATGGCAATAAATCAGTAAAGTGTATAGGTATATATCAACACCATTTATTCAAACTGATCACCAATTGATATGTTCTCGCCACCTTTTCTCATCTGTCTTACACACGCTGTAATTTTTGTGTTCTATGTTTACCTTCACTGGCATCATGAGAGCTAATAGACTGAAATGGTTGGGGCATATTGAAAGAAGGTCAGATGACAGAGAAGTAAAAACTGTATACACAAGGGAGATGAACCGTCATAGACCATGAGGCAGCCCAAGAAGATGATGGAGAGATAATGTGCAGGCAAAAAACAAACGCTTGGTGTCACCAACTGGAAAGAAAAAGCCAACCAGAGATAAATGGAGGTGGGTGATTTCTGCAGCAATGAACCTCAAGGGATCAGAATGCTGAAGAAGAAGAAGAATATGTTTACTTTCTGTTGTCTGTTCTGCATCCAGTTTTCTGCAGTATGAATACAGTATGGTACATTTGCTCATTTAGTTGTCTCAGAGTCGTCTGATGTTATTGTATATACT